TGTGTTAATGTAATATGTACGAATACGTATCGTAATTCGTATAGGTTAATCTATAAAGCGAATATTAACATAAGCGAAAAAAAAGTATGTATGTATACCTAGTAAACAAAATATATAAATGTATACCTGCGAGTGGGATTTCAATTGCCTTGTCAATTAAGGGGTATAATTTACGTATATTTTAATAATTAAAAAATGAATCAATTTATTGCTTATTTTAAGGTTTAAGTTGGTTCAGTAAAAAAAGTAAAATTATATTAATTATATTAATTAAATAATTAATAATCTTTCAAATTATCAGCTGTTAAACAAAATGATTTTCTCAAAATTATTCAAAATTATCTATTCAAAATTAAGTACATAATTGATCGTAACGCGTTATAATGAAAGACGTTCAAGAGAGGAACGTGACGGCACAAAATTGAGAGAAATGTATGTCATGCTATTATTTCTCTCTCAATATTTTTTTTATTGGTTGAAATAATACCATATGTTGCAAAATTTAAATAATGTCAAACATTTAATAGCGGCAGAATAATTTGAAAATTTTTTTTTAATTCGACATCATAGAAATCCGGATATACAGGATCAGCTGGACAAATCGAATTGTTCTTTCATTCTCAGAAAAAATATTCACAAGATAAGTAGCTCCTTTTATGTCCATTTTTGTTACTGGTTATATATCCAAGTTCCAAACTTACTTATTTGAAAAACTCAAAGAGGAGCGCAAAACAACATGGTAACATTTAGCATTGCTAAACTACAAGCGAATTACAGAACACCAATTGAAAAGAAAAAAAGTCATTCTGTAAGATATCTATACAATGTACATAAATTATCTATATTCTTAGATATCTACAAGAAAATGAAAAATACTAATTAATTTTTTTAATAATTAAAAAAAGAAAATAATAAAAATGATATATTCGCGAATAACTTGGTGGTAACAATGTGATATACGTTTATAGATAGTATATTTAGGATTCTAAAGAAATAGTAAATGTTTGATAAAGTAATTTATGTATATAAACACACAATTATATATAATTATTTACACATGCATGCAATCTCAACTCGAATTTTGACAATAAATTTAAATATATAACAATATCTGACAATATCTGTTATATATAGTTAGTGTATATATAAGATAAAAACTGATACCGTCTTAATTTTATTGTTTTTGGTAAGATTTTTAAATAAATTTTTATCATAAGTGCCTTTAATTTAATTTTTTTTTTCTTAGAACTTATCAGGCAAAAAAGGGTATATATGCAAGACTTCATTGATACGAGTATATATAAATTATTATCAAAATATTGTTACTGTGATTTCATTTATTCTATACCTGTAAATAAAAATAGAAAATACCTTCTATAATCAATCACCTTTTTTTCAAATGATTCATATCACAATATGCCATACGAGTATAATAAATTTATTAACATGTTTTCACAAATTGAAGAAAAATTTTATTGTTTCTTATCATTTCCTCTAAATTATAAATTTGCAAATCATGGTCGAACTTAATATGTAAGTAAGGGCGCGTACATACTTACATACATATTCTATGTAATTATAAAGTACGTTCACCTATAGTAATTTAATATCCTTATAATGGTACTAAATATGACTATATAGTTTATAAAATTGATAACAATTATTGTGTTAGTAATTCGTTTGTCTACAGCAGAACTATCTTAAGTCAAAGGTAGGATTATTTAAATTCTCAAAAGATACCTTTTAACCATATAACACACTTGTATTAATTATAAGTGACAATCTTTTGATCAATGTATGTATAAAATATTATGTTGACATAGGATTATTACCCGTGTATAATGATTTTATGGTCGAACTACTGCGAGATAAGGGTATACACTGCGAGATATACACTATTGACTATACGTTTAGCGAGCAACTGACATAAGATATTGTTTAAAAATTCTGTAGAATTTTTTTTAGTGAAATGGACTTAGGATAGTTCTGCTCTAAACAGGCGATTTGACTATGTATTTGTATATTTATGATATACATATATGTATGTACAGAAATATATGCTAAATAAAAATCTTACTCAAGTTATAGGTACTTAATTATAATTTATTAGTCACTTTTTATAATCATTATATTTTTTTCTTTTATTCTATGTTTTTTGTTTTTTTAAGTATAGTTCATTACATACTTAAAATTAAGACATCCGACAATCATTTTCCAAAATTTTAATACGAGTAATCTAATCTTATCGTATATTTTTAGCATAGAGCAATAATTTCAAGTATTTATTGTATTCAATTTTAAAATACTCATACCTGTATTAATGAAAATTTATATTATAAAATTATAATTATATTTTGTGTGCACTAGAATTCTATTTTAGTGATTAGAATAAATTAATTGGAAAAATTGTGGATTTTGTGATTTTGGCTTCAAAACGTATACACTTATATAGGTACCCCCAAAAAATTTAAAAACTTAATGTTATCGACCATAGCTACTGACTTAAAAATTTCAAAATAAGAGCAGTTATTATGCAGACACGTACTTATAAACTTTATAATTATATTTATTATTTATATTTCTGTTGAAGTGAGTAAACCATTGAGCAGAAATCGATTTTAATATTAATGTAAAATATGTACATTTATATTTCTAGTAGGATTAATGCAACAAATTCCATAATCAACCATCACAATGGCGTAAAACTCAAACAAAAGTTTTGATGGAAGATTAATAACATAAAAATAAAAATTTGTAGTATTTACGAAACATAAAAATTTTGAAATTTTTGTTTTTTAAATTAAAATTTATTTAAAAATCAAATTTTTTTTACTGTCATTGTCAACAAAAAATTAAAATTCAACTGAAAAAATTATAAAATTATTGTGAATATGTAAATTTAAAATTGTATACAATAGATGTCACTTTCAAATTAAAATAGAAAAATATAATATAAGTAATTTGTCTAAATGATACAGATGTCTCTTCAAACAACAGATTCTCATAATCTTGTATTTGATAGGCTTCTTGTATAGCTACTATTTATAAGAAAATTGTAAGCTCGATAAACATATTAAATAATATAAAATTTTTTGTGTTAAGGAAGAGTGTCATATAAGTTTGACAAAAAATAATTTGCACTGGTAATTTAATAATTCATATTATATATTCGAATAGCGTTTACTTAAGATTTCTGTGTTAGTAATTTTCAAGAACCCAAATTTAATTTGGCAAATACTAAGAATATTTTGACACCTACTGCATTTTAATGTATCATTTACATATGAAGGAAAATTTGACGATTAAATTTGACAACCGTGATAATGGATAAGAAATTTTGTTAAAACATGAAATTTTATTTGATCAAGTTGCTATCAGTTGTTTTCCTTTCTAATATCGACCCGATGTATATTTATGCATATGTCAAAGTGTGAGTGTTTTATTTCTAAAAAAAGAAGACAAAAGTAAATTATTTAAAATAAATTTTTGCTTTTTCTTTTTCATACACATTTTTATAATCTTTAGATTTAATATCCCATAAGAATTATTTTCTTTTGAATGATGTAATAAATTGAATTAATAAATATTTTTTTTGAGGCATTTAAACACTAAACTTTGTTGACTACTTACCATTTTGTTTTTCATATCTGTCAAAAAAGTTTGATAAGAATAGGACAAGATATTATTTTTTTCGATTTGGTTTGATTTAATTGCACCAAATTATCATCAAATTTTAATCCAATCAAATAAAATCGTCAAAATTTGCTTAATGTGTAAACGTTACATAGGAACTAATTTAACTATGTAACTAGAAAAGTCAATTTGTTTTGATATTTATGATATTGTGTTCCCACTATGCGTTAGTTAAATTGTTTTTCAGAAAAGGAAATTGAAAATGAAAGGTTTACAAAATAATAAATAATTACCTAAAAAGTTTAAATTCTTTTACTGTATCAATATTTTTCAAATAAAATGGAATTTTTCATTCAATCAATAATAAATGAATTTATATACGGAAAATTTAATATTGTTTAAAACTAAAATGACAAATCATTGTCAACCCATCAAATAAATTTCATATTTCATATTTATACATAAAATGTCAAATGAAAATTTCTACAAAACGGAAACATTACTATTAAAAAATTATAATTGAAAAAGGAAATGGCAACACATTGTAAAAAAAAAAAAACTTTCTATAATTTAGAAATGGCAACATTTTTATTATTTAAATGAAAAATATATGAAATAGATAGTATGTTTATAATATTATGTATGTAAAAGAGATGAATATAATAATGGCGTTTTTTTTTAATAAACCTTTTGTTTGAGGCCGGGCCTATTATAAAGAAAAAAAAAATGTAGTAATTTGTGAAGAATAATTTATTAAAAATTTATAAATTTATTTAAATTCATTTAATTAATATTTAATAAATAATTTGTGCAAATAATTTTATAGAAAAATAATAAAATTAAATGTGAAAAATTGAATGTACAAAATTTACGTGTATATCGAAAATGTGTGTGTTTGTAGAAGAACTTGGACAAGAAATATATTAAAATTTTTTTTTTTTTATTTTTTATTTATGATTTTTTATTATTTTTGTTTTTTATTTTTTTTTTTTTAATATTAAAGTGGGACATCACAATACGTCACACCATACCAACTTATAATATTATTTTTTTTTTCTACATATTTGCTTTTTCGACCAAAGTTAATGAAAAAAAAAAGTTTTTTTTTTAATAAAATTTCAATAAAATTTAAAAAAGAAAGAAAAATAGAAAATAAGTTTTTGAAATATTTTATACTTTTAAAAATATGATTATTTTAATATTAAATTTCTTAAATAGAAAAAAAATCGAAAGAAAATCATTTAAGATCTAAGAAAATAAATTTAAAGAAACACAGAGTGTGTGTGCTATAAACATTTTTTATTTTTTAAAATTTAAAAATTATATGGAAGAAAAATTTTACTATAGCAATACAAAAAAGAAAAAAATTATAAAGAGGCACTTAAGAATATAAAAAAAAATGCTTTAAAAATTCAAAATGTTGTTTGTGAAATTGTACTACTGGTGTTTATTAAATTTTAAATATTTCTACTTATAGAATTTCATATTTTCGTTTTTAAAAAAAATTATTAAGTTTAATAAAAAAAATAAAAGCAAAAAAGAAAAAAAAAATTTTTTTTGTTAGGTTATGTTGAGTTTTTTTTTTTTGTCCTCCTTGCAATTTTAATTTTTATTTAAAAAAAAGGATATCATATATTTTATATTGGATTAAAGAGAAGAATATTAATAATTAAAAGACAACAAAAAAAAAAAATAGAGAGAATACGGAAAATAATTACAAATAATTAAATCAGGTGAGTTTTTTTTTGAATATGTAAAAAATAATTTACAAAATGTATAAAATTTTGTCCGCAAGGGGGAATTAAAAATTAGTAGATAAAATTGCGAGCGAACAAAATTCAATATTAAAATAGTCGACAGTCAGTCAAGAGAAGTCATTATTGTAAAATTATCTGTTTATAACTAAACAAAAATATTAAAATTAACAAAATAATATTAAAAATGAGTGGCTGACTGACGGTCTGATCAAAAAAAGAAAAATAAAAACAAAAAAAAAAAAATAGAAAATAATTTTCTTTTCTCTTTTTTTTTATTTTTCCTTCTTTTTTTTGATTATTTTTCTTTTTTTTTTCCTTGCTGCTTCTCAGCGCGCGCTTCAAAATTTTTTTTTGTTATATTTGCTAATATTTTTGTTATATTTCTTATCTTTTAATGTCAAATAAAAACTCTTGTTTTGACATTTAAATAATGGAAAAAAATTTTTAATTTTTTTTCAAAAATTAAAATGATTTTTTCTTTCATTTCAATTACTTTTTTCAATAAATTTTTAATTACTTGCATATATACATTGATATCTAACATATATACTTATATTGTTTTTTTTTTTTTTATATATGAATTGAAAAATCATACATTGCAAATGGCTGAAATTTTTTTTTTTTTAAAAAGAATCCAAAGAAAATTTTTTATATATGGTACAATAAAAAAAAAAAAATAATTTACCACTACATTCAGAAAATGTACATATATAGTTTAATGTATTTGTTCTATATGGTGAAAATAAAAAAAAAAATAATATATGTATATACAGTGTGATTGGCAATATGTTTCTATTGTTGCCGTGCATCAAAAAAAAAAAACCGTATACTCGTATTATGAGTGTTATACAAATAAAGCATTTTTAATTTTTTTATTTTGAAAACAAAAAAAAATTTTTATTATTTAATTTTACAAAGAAAGCGTTTGCTTTTTAATTAATTACTTGTAGTATTTTGCTAGTATATAATTAAGGTTAAAAATTACATACTAGAAATTACTATACCAACCTGCTTATTAGATAATAAAAAAAAAAAAATAGGGAGGTTATGTGTTGATATACAAAGTATAGCTACATATATGCATGTGTGTATGTATGTAATTGACATTAATAAATTGGTATCATAATATACAAGGTACATGTACAGCATAAATTCTCTCTCTGATCTAATATGTTAATATTTTTTTTTTAATTTTTAAAATTATGTATATGCATAAATATTAAATATTTATTAACTAAAGTACTGTATGTTTCAATTTAATTTTGTTTTAAATGTGAGGAAAGCAATAAATTGAAGAGATAAAATTAAAAAAATATTTGGTAATTATTTCTAAAAGCATTCGACCTCCGAAATCTATGTGCCCATATTACTTTAATTCTAACTTGAAATTAAATAATGTGAAAAGTTTTTAAAAAATTAATATATAAGTATAGGTATACATATTTCTTTAAATTTCATTCATTATTATTTTATTAATACTAAATTAATATAGTATTATAATTATAATTATTTACTTACACCAAAATTCTCTAAATAAATAAAACTATAATTTTAAGGAGATTTAAAAACATTGGTTTCTGTTTGTGCTGCAATCTGTGACGGAACAGTTTCACTTCTCAATTAGAACGGAAAACCTTAACATTATAAATTGCTAAATAGGTACTTACAATTTCAGGGGCCAACAAATTCATTCTTGAATATTTATTTTCTTTTGTTTAATAAAAAAAGGGCCTTTTTAATATAGAAGTGAATTCGATTAAAGTACAAGCAGCCTCTATTTAGTGTATTAATTTTCTTTGAAAAAATTTACCACCCACCCCGCATAATACATACATATGACATACATTAGTAAATCGTTTCATAAATTTTTTTAACTGAAAAATCTTTCCTAATTATATTGGTAATGGTATAATACGTTTAATCGTTATTTAAATTCAATTTTAAATACACTTACTTCGTTGATATAGTGGTTCGACGGTGATATTGTGAATTTGACTTGACTTTGGCTGACAAACATTATTTGTTATTTTTATTGACATTTTCAATCTTTCAACCCCAGTATATGCAGTCGATTTTCATGGCAAGGTAACAATTTTTTCGGATCAAATTGTTTTAAAAATTTTAAGTCAAGTATCGTTTAAATGAGTTCAAAATTCCCTTGTAAATCTTCAAGCTGCATATAAATCGAAAAATCTGATTAACGCTCAAAATAAATATAGACGTGTATGTATATAATTTTATCCACCCTCATAATTTCATCAAATTAATTACGCACTTCCACACTAAAAAAAATAACTGATAATAATGTACATAGTACTTAAATAATGTATGTACATATATGTATTTGGTATACATATCTACGTACATATATTATCTTCGTTTTTCTCATGTGAGCTAGTTTTCAAATTAAATAATATTTTTTTATTGAAACCCTTATTAATATAAATGTATTATTAGAAATATTAATGCAGATCTGTGGCGCAATGCTTGTTTACATTTTTACCTACCTTAATTATGTAAAATAAAATGTGCATATATAAAATACAGATACACACATACATACATTCATCCGTATGTTGAGTATTTTAATTGTAAAATTACATAATATTTCGTAATGATATCCTATGGTCCTTTCAATTAATATACCACCCTATCGAATCAAAAACCGATTTATTAAATTTATTATACAGATGTTAAATAAATATGAAATAAACGCACACAAAATAATAACAAAAATTTCACCTTTTAATCAATACTTACCTGTACACAAAAAATATAGACAATTTTTTTCTACTTACATCTACAGATATGTATCTGTATACTAAAATGTATGCGTACGTCTACGTACTTCCATAAGTTCACAACAGAAAATTTATTCCGTTATTCAATGTAAGAAAAACAAACATTTTTTCTTTTAAAATCATCATTTTAAAATGAATGAAGGACATGAGATTTTTTTTTTGTTTTTTGTTTTTCTACTTTAATTTTTCATTTCTTATAATTTTTTCTTGTTACTTCTATTCTTACTTTATTCATCCAACCAAATACCGGGGAATTCCTTTTGAAGTCTCTTAGAAAGTTTAAAAATCTAAAATTATAATAATAAAAATAAGTGAAATCAAAACAAAAATAATAATAATAAATGATAGTAATAATAATAAAAACAAAAACAAAAATAGTTAAGGATATACAAACATATACATACATATATATATTTACTACGTACTGCATATACATATATACACGAATATCACTATTTAAATAGGTACATAACATTGTTAAATAATAAAAAGCGCGGCAAAAATAAAGTAAATGAAGAAAATGTTAAAATAGTAGTAGAAATGAAATTATAATAAAAAAGAAAATCAAAAAAAAAAAAAAATTGAACACTGGTGTGTAAGTAATCGTACTGATGGTGGAGAAAAATAATTTCAAACTTGGCGCTTGTAAATTTTAGATTATGCATTACGTATAAACTTAATGAATAAATTATTAAGGCCAGGTATAATGATTCTCAAAATTTTGAAGAAAGCAATCATTCTATGCCCGCTTGCAATTCTATTATGATTATCCACCGACCAGGAATTTAATAAGATTGACCAATCGAACACACAACAAAGTAAAATATATCCATAAATATTCATGACTCATCAATTTGATGGACAGACCGTACCGTAATAGATGGTTAGTACCGTAAATTGTTTACGTTAGTACCGTGAATTATTTACGTTAGTGTCCCTGAATTGTGTACGTTAGGAAATTAAGAGGCATTCAAAAAATTAATTAAGAAGAATATGAATATATAATATTATTTATTCTATATCCATTGCCAACTTATTACGATAAGAAATTATACTTTCAACTATTCAAAATTTCTTAAGCTGATAATGAAAAATTAATTGATAAACACACAGTCATTATTGTACGCAATCATATTATTTAAGCACATTGTTGCTAAACATTTTTGTATACATATAAATAACTTTTTATGTCATATTATCTTTTATATATATACATATAAATATATTATTATCTACACATACGCACAGATAAACACAAACAAATCACAAACAGCGCCACGCATATCATAACATATTTTGTATTGTTTCATGCTTTAAAATTTAAATCCAACACAATATAGCGATTTTCTTTGTAAAATAACATAAAAATTAGTGTTGCCATAGTAGTATTTTGATTATGTTTGCTAGTTTGTTTTGTTGTTTCTTTCGAGGAAAGTTTTCCTGATAATGGGATCTTTGTATACATATTTGAACTGTTATACTTAATATACGATTGTCCTTAAACATTTATTTAAGAGTTATTCTTAAGGAAACCGCTATTTATAATAATCGAGCATTCGAAGAATGTTCTTCAATTATTGAACCTAGGCTTTATTATTGCAGGTAACCTTATTTAGAAAATTAGCTGTTAAAAAATTTTAACTTTATTACAACTCTAATGCAAATAAAAATATTTTTCACCACATTTTTTTAAAAAAAAATTTGGTAATACTGTTGAAAAAATTATATCTTTTCCATAATACCACTACATAAATATTAAATTTGTTCAACATTTTTATATCCCATTCAATTTCAATATACATACCAACATATAAATGAATGATTGAAAACCTTCAGTAAAAGACAAAAAAAACAAGCAATTTCATTTGAATTTGTTTTTTTTTTCGTAACAAAATTATATATCTATCCCTTTTACACTTATTATATTAATAAATATATTCGACACTTTATTGCTCGTAAAATATTTTAATGCTTTTCTTTTCTTTCATTCGTGGTATGTGGCGTGAAAGAGGTAGAATATTTGCTGTTGTAAATATATGTGTTTATTATTTAATGTACAATGTCCATACATATTTAATTTAAGTGAATATTTAAGAATTATAAAAATACGGGCATTATATTTGCTTACAATGTGTATAGATGAATGGTTATTAAAACATAATTATTCATGTTATA